AAAAATATATTTTATTGATTTTTTACAGAGAGGAAGGGAGAGAGATAGAGAGTCAGAAACATCAATGAGAGAGAAACATCGATCAGCTGCCTCCTGCACACCTCCTACTGGGGATGTGCCCGCAACCAAGGTACATGCCCTTGACCGGAATCGAACCTGGGACCTTTCAGTCCGCAGGCCGACGATCTATCCACTGAGCCAAACTGGTTAAGGCTAATTAATCTTAATTGAAGTCATTTATTTTCTTCACATTTTATCCTCCTTAAGTGTGATTATGGTTTGAAAAGTGGTTGTAAAAAGCTGTACAAAATTTTGAAGTAATTTTCTCAAGTGTCTCCTACATTATATTTACTCCCCTATGAGGTATATGGACACATTTTCATCATTGCCTATGCTGAAAGTTCCATTTAGAATTTAAAGCTATTTTAATGTCCCTCTTAAGATTTATGCCTTTTCTTTCTCTTGTTATGAGAAAGATAATGCTCTAATGAATTTTCTTTGTCAAAATTTGGAGTAGTTTCCTTTAATAAAATCATTCTTATTAAAAATAATTATTTATTATTATTTATTATTTATTGGGTGATTGCTTTGTTTTCTGTATTTTACTAAACCCCTTTACATGGATTATTTCCTTCATTATTTGCTTCTACAATTTTTTAAGCCATCATTCCAAGAACATATTTATATGAGTGGCTATATAAAGAGGCAATAATGGCCAAATATTCTGTGGGAATCCACTTAATCAAATGTATACTAGATTTTTTTTCAAATGAATTTCTTTGAAAAAGTTTTAAAATAAGACAAAAAAGTATTAAAATAGGTGGATAAAATTAAAATTTTAATAATGTGAAAAAGAACATATAGAAAATTTATGGGCAAATAATGAAGTAGGATATAACCCTGAGAATTTAAAGCTATCTTGGGCTACCCAGTGCAGATGAAGAAAAATGGCTGGGTTGTGAAAATATTTTTATATTTTGTGATGGTTAATTTTGTGTCCACTTAACTGGGCTTAGTAAAATATTACTTCTGGGTATGTATATGAGGATGTTTCTGTAAGAGATTAGCATTTGAATTGGTAGACTGAATCAAACAGGGGAGGAAGGGCATTATTTACTAGTACTTCCTGCTTGAACTGGGGCATCTTCTCCTGCTCTGGCACATTGGTGCTCCTGGTTCTTAGGCCTTCTTCATCTTGGACCTGGACTTACATTATTGAGCTCTCATGGTCCTCAGCCCTTTGGACTCAGAATGAATTGTACCACTGGCTTTCCTGGTTCTCCAGCTTCCAGACAGGGGATCATGGAACTTCAGGACCTCCATAATGAATAGTCTGAGAAGAATCTGCAGGTACAAAGTTAATTACATGAAGAAATGACTCAAATTCTCATGGTCCTCATTCTGCTTCTCTCCCCAAGTATGCACCTATAATTTCATGGGAAATTCCCTCTGATCACTTGACAGAGGAAGAGGAGGCCCAGTGTACAGATGGTTCTGTAGGATATGCAGGCACCACCTAAAAGTGGACAGGTACAGTACTACAAGCCTTCTCTGGGACATCCCTGAAGGACAGTGATGAAGGGACTTCCCCTTGTAGACAGAACACCTGGTTGTTCACTTTGCTTGAAAAGTGAAAAGGCAAGATATGCAATTACATGCTGATTCAGGCTGTAGCCAATTGTTAGGCTGATGGTCAGGGACTTGGATGGAACAAGATTGGAAAATTAATGATAAATAAATTTGGGAAGAGATATGTAAGTGGATATAGCTCATTGAATGGATAAAAAATATGGAAATATTTGTGTCCCATGCCAGTGCTCACCATAGGGTAAGCTCAGTAAAGGTCCTCTAGAGAATGAAAAGCATCACAGAAGACACAAGTCATATTAGGGAAGGTATCGTGTGTGATCAAGGCTTCATTACTCCTCTTATTCTACTTTTGGGCTAAATATAGATCATTTATTGAGAGTAAACTAAAAACTAGTAGTGGAAGTGATGAGTGTGAAAGCAAGATATATGTTAAGAGTAGATAGATGATAGGTAGATAGATAGATAGATAGATAGATAGATAGATAGATAGATATAGATATATCTTTGGCTCTAATTCTCTGGAGAAACATAATGCAAGTGTGCAGTGGGGTGTAAAGGATGATGAAATAACACTCCATATCTGAAATAAAAATAAAAAGACAAAGTTGACTTTATAGTTCACTATAATAATGGAAGGCTATGCTGGTCTGGCACAGTCTCTTTGAGCATAGGAGATTATTGATCTTATATAAGTATTCAGGGAAGCATGGTGTTTAGGAATTTGCTAACTTTACTTCTAAAGTTACAGCGAAGTAGGCATAATCTATACAGTTGTGGCTACTAGAATGAAACTGTTGTTGACTAGTTGCCATTCAAAGGAGTATTGTTTAGAGCTAGTTCATTGCTGATTTGCTAACTTTCAGAAGTGAAGGGCTGAAACCAATTGGTTGGTGGTGACTCTCAAAATGTATTTCTGCACTAATCAAAAGGTGATTTGAAATGAAAATTATTAAAACTTATAGAAAATAAATGTATATTAATTCAAATATATAGATCCCTTTTATTTCTATACAAAACAATTATTAAGTTCTATATTGCACTATTATCATTCCTATATTTTAAATAATTTGTATTTAGTACTTGAATCGTGGCATTGGTCATGGTCTTTCACTTCTTGGATGTAATACAGTTTTTAAGAGTCTAAAAAAGCAGCCTAAATTAGTCTTCTTGACCCTGATTTTTCAAGAATTTGGTTCTTACAGATCATAAGAATAAGAATTTAGAACTTTAAATCCTTCCACATTCTGCTAGTCAGTGAATATGTACTATAGTATATAATAATACCTAAGTCATTCCTCCACACTGCACTCGATCCAATTCTATTTGATTTCAGAAACGGATTTTGAACATGGGCCTGTTTGACTAATCAGATGATCATTTTCCTATTCTTTTCTATTTAAATCCTGAGTGGCAGAGCTGTATTTAGGAGGGCAATGATTTCATTATACAGGCAGAGGGAACTGCCATTACAGCAAAATAACAAGAGCCAAGTTGGCTAACGGAAAATGTTTCCTATCACACTAAAGGAGCCACAAGAGAAATACCAACAAAATGTCACCTCAAACACAATGACTACAGGATTACAGAAATCTAATTAGCCATTTCATTAACTGAGTCCTGTGAACATGGCAAACAATGGGGACTGAGAAGCATCTATTCATTGGAAATACATGGAACTGTCAAGGAGCTTGTTCAATAATGTGTCCCCTGTATTTTTTCAGGTGGGGCTGGGGCAGGGGGTTGAGTGACTTATTAAAAGGGTGCATTTCAGCATGTTTTTAAGAACTGAAGGCACTTTCAGGGAGTTAACTCCACCGCTATGGACTGACAATAATACCTTAGAAATTTCATTTCTAATCCCCCACGAGCTAATTAGGTACATTTATAGACATGATGTACCAAAGGTTATATCTGACAAACATCATCAAAAAGATCTTATCTGGCACTATTGCATTTTCATATAGCATTTACAATGTGTATAAATAAGATTAAATTTCTTTGCTGGCAGATGCCTCTTTTTGTTAGCATTTATACCTATAGGTTTTAGTGTCTGAGACATTTTTAGTCTAATAAATGAGTGGATGGAACAATTTTTAAAAGAAACAAAGTATTTTGACTCCAAAATAATAAAGGAACGCGGATCCAAGAGACATGGAAAGCATTCGATGGCATTGTTGCACTTTCTGATTTACTAAAATAAATCACTTCATCTTAGTAAAATGTTAAGAGTTATCACTGAATTTTTATGAGGGTGTCATTGCAGATAAAAAACACTGAAGTGGACAGTAGTCACGTTTCTACACACTGTACCTTTTCACTCTGGTGCCAATCCATGTATTGATTAGTAAAGCACACTGCGATCAAGCCAATGGCCACGGCCCTGGCATCCCGGGCCACTGCTGCTTTGTGACCTGGCCTCTCCCCTCCTAGGTCACCAGTTTGCGCTGGGTCCATGGTGACAGCATAAGACTTCCTGCCTCTGCCTTCAGGGTGTGGCTCTCAACAACATGACAGGCGCGTTGTATTGTTGATACAGAGCGAAGCATAGAAAAAAGTGAAGGAACGTTCCTTCTTAAAAAAAAATAATAATCTGATTGTAGGTAAAAAGCAAGGCGAAGAGAATAAGAGAATGAAGGACAGCACAAAAGGCCCGCATTCTAATCAATGAAGCAGCACTTCCATCTCTGAACGATCACTTTCCAAAGGAAGGGGCGCTAACTCAACCTCATACATTCAAAACATTGACACCCGAAAGGTTCACCTGCAGAAAATTAACTCCGGGAGAACCCGCATGCGCAGCTGTGAGGCTACTCTGGCGGGCAGGTTCTGCCCTCCTCCTCCCTGCGGCCCCTCAGGGGTCAGCGCCTGAGGCCCCTTCCCAGAGTGCTCTGCGCCCGGAAGCAGCGGCTCCCAGGAAGGCGCCATTTTGCGTTGGTGGAACCAGAATAACAAGATGGCAGCGGCCTGGGCAGAATGACAAAATGGCGTCACCGGGTGAGCAACAACATGACCGAGCAGCAGAGTGACAGCGACGGCGGGGCCTCGGGGTGGGAGGCCACGGCGGTGGGGGCAGCGGGAACCCCGTCCTAACTCAACGCCCCCCTTTTCCAGCCCGCGACGTCACGAAAGCCCAGAATCCAAGCGGCCCAGCCTGGGAACCTCACGAGCCCCTTAGAAACGGCGGCCCGGAAAGGAGCAGCCCGACGGGGCGGAGGTGATTAGGGTTCCCTTGGGGGATTGTGGGCCCTGTGACACCGAGAGAACCACCACAACCGTTTCACCGTTTCCGTTTCCGGCCGCCGTCCTCTGCGGAGTTGCTCGGGGCGCTGCCGCCCAGAGAGGCTTCTGTCCTCCTCTTCGAGGTGAGGTCCTGGGCTTGGCCGCAGCCCCGCCGGAGACCGTGTCCCGGGATGGCGAGCTGCAGCAGCTCTCAGGCCGAATTCACTGTCCGGGGGAAATACAAGCTGGTGCGCAAGATCGGGTCTGGCTCCTTCGGGGACATCTACTTGGCGATCAACATCACCAACGGCGAGGAGGTGGCGGTGAAGCTCGAGTCCCTGAAGGCCAGGCACCCGCAGCTGCTGTACGAGAGCAAGCTCTACAAGATCCTGCAGGGCGGGGTGGGCATCCCGCACATCCGGTGGTACGGGCAGGAGAAAGACCACAATGTGCTGGTCATGGACCTCCTGGGGCCCAGCCTGGAAGACCTCTTCAACTTCTGCTCCAGGAGCTTCACGATGAAGACTATACTGATGCTGGCGGACCAGATGATCAGCAGGGTGGAATATGTGCATACAAAGAATTTCATACACAGAGACATCAAACCGGACAACTTCCTCATGGGCATCGGGCGCCACTGTAATAAGTTGTTCCTGATTGATTTCGGTTTGGCCAAAAAGTACAGAGACAACAGGACAAGGCAACATATACCGTACAGAGAAGATAAAAACCTCACGGGCACGGCCCGGTATGCGAGCATCAATGCCCACCTTGGCGTGGAACAGAGTCGCCGGGACGACATGGAATCGTTAGGCTATGTTTTGATGTATTTTAACAGAACCAGCCTGCCCTGGCAAGGGCTGAAGGCTGCCACCAAGGTACAGAAATACGAGAAGATTAGTGAAAAGAAGATGTCCATTCCTGTTGAAGTCTTATGTAAGGGGTTTCCTTCGGAATTTGCCATGTACTTAAACTACTGCCGTGGGCTGCGCTTTGAAGAAGCCCCGAATTACATGTACCTGAGGCAGCTCTTCCGCATTCTTTTCAGGACCCTGAACCACCAGTATGACTACACATTTGACTGGACAACGCTGAAGCAGAAAGCAGCCCAGTCGGCGGCCTCTTCCAGTGGGCAGGGTCAGCAGGCCCCAACCCCCACAGGTTTCTAAGCGAGAATGAAGGAACAGAGGAAGCAGTGCCGGTGATTGGAGCAGCATTGGTTTCTCCCCAAATCTAGACATTTTAGTTCATATGTACACTAGCCAGTGGTTGTGGACAACCATTTACTTGTTGTAAAGAACTTAATTTCAGTATAAACTGGATCTGGGAAGCATTGTTGTAATTGTAAATATTAACTGAAATAGTGAAACATGGTGTCCAGTTTTCTATTCCATTTTTTTTTTCAAGTGGAAAAGTGAATTAAATGGTTGACACACACAAATAGGTGGAGAAATTGTACATATGCCAATTTTTGTGTGAACATCTTTTACTTTTAGCTATGCAGCTTTGAGATCTCATTTCAGAAGAATGGGATGAGCAGTGTTCACCCACAGTTGTGATACTTGTATATGCTCACTACTGTGCATTCTTAGGGTTTATCCATCCCTAGGGTTTGCTAGTTGTTCACTTAAAACATTCTTAAATGGTTGGCTTCTTATTTGCAAGCCAGATGATATGGTAGTAACCAAAGGGTCCAGTGTTTGAGCATATGAAGAAAGACTGCCTGCTTACCTGTGTTAGAAATAACAGCATTTAAAGTGAAAACTTAAGAAAAACTTAGTGACTACTAGATTATCCTCAGGACTCTGCATTAACTTCACAATGCTCTTGGTGTATATATATTTTAAAAAGCATATTTGTCACAGATATTTAGTTAACATCTTAAAATTGAACATGTATATATGTTGCTTAGATAAATGTAATAACTGTAAACATATATATGATTTGGGATTTTGTTTTTTGTTTTTTTTTTGAAATGGGAGCTTTTTTGTTTACAAGTTCACTAAAAACAAAACAAAAGAAGAACAGAATGGTAATTTAGTACATTTCATTTTTTTCTAAATATATTGAATTTGTTCAAAAACTGATTTTCAACCTAGAGCAGGTACAGTGTAAGCAAATAAGCCTAATAATATATTGGTTTAGAAGAGCAAGCAATGAGACTAATGAAGTTATGCAGTATACTGGGGGGAAACAACTACATTAAAGACAATTTGAATAACAATTGATTACATTAAGTTTAAAAGTAAAGAAAATTATTTTGTAAAAGGTTTCTTTGGTCTTTATAGATTTTCAGTAGAAAGTACCATTTTAAAGACTGAGTTTGAGTTGGTATCTTTTTAAAAGGATTATCTATTAGCCACTTCATTGGTTAGGATTAACAACGACCTTCAGTTAAGCACAGTTACTTACTTGTTTGAACTGAGGTCTCCTGGATATTTTACTGTCATTCATGTTGATCAGTAAGAGATAATGAGCTTATAAATATAAACATATTTATCCCTTAAAATAGACCTAAGACAATATTTTTCCTGCATTCCAATTCCCATGTGAGACTAAGACATTATAAAACTAAATCCTAGTCTAATATTATTTCCACCAAACAGTAATCTCAGTTTCTTATTCTATAAAAGGGGCTAATAATACCCTTTAAAATGTTGGGGAAATGCTAGAGAGAATTAATAATGAATTTTGAAATAATTACTTAAAGGAAAATGATATGCTTTTTCTATATTACTCATATAAATAGCTGCGACTCTCTTAACCAAACTCTAACTAATCAACTTGGTTGAAAAATAAGAGGAGTCTTCTAGTAAAGAACCTGACTGATGCTCTTAGCACACTGTACATTTAGGGCAAGTTACATGTTGGCTACCCTTCAGTAAAGTGAGTCTCAAAATGGGGTCTAGGAATCTTCGGTTTAGTATCCTTAACATACTTTTGGGGTATCTGTGAGGTCAAACTATTTTTATAATAATATTTACACATTATTGTCCTTTTTGCACACTGTTGACATTTATACTGATGCTATAGAAGTGGTGAAATTGTTAGTGCCATAAATGGAGTGACACCAGACTGTATTAAGTAATTATTGTATTCTTCACCACACATAAGCAAAAACAATGCCATTTGTACACAAAAATGCCCATATTCATTTTATTAAATATCAACCCTTTAGAATACTTTTATTTAGTATTCTGTGTTGCAAAATGAGTATTTTTGCTGCAAATCATAGAAAATAGTTGTATCTAGGCTTGTATGGTTGACTGAATTTTGCTCAATCTGCTGCGTTTTGCAGACAATAACATTTTTACTTGAAAGAGTGTCTAACCGAAGAACGATGGGTATTAAGACAGACAGGCCTTTGTGGACTTTCCCAAAAAAAGAGACAGCATAAGCTTTTCACTGTAACAAAAAACAGTAGGCAATTTGTTACCTATGACTTAATTTGGTATTTCAAGTGAGAATTAGAATTTTGGAAGACCTGTATCTGCCATGTAAGAATGACAACTTCTTAGTACTTAAAAATTGTCTGATAGTATCTGTGGGTTTTTAAACAGAATCAATTTTTGATGTAATGAATTTATCCACATTTGAAAGCTCTGTGTAAC